ATGTTTTTCTGTTTAGATTCAATTCCGGATGTTTTAATCGTGGGCGGCCGGACGCCATGCTTTGCAGAGGTAGTATAATATACCTGTTCGGTTGTTTACGTGTCCGGATGTTTAAAAAGCGTCGCCGTAGGTTTGGTAATATAGGGGCTTAAATAACTGCCAATGTTATGGTTCCATATTCCTTCTATAATCATAGTATAGGGGACCTCAAATAGACCTGGTTTGGTACCTTTGGGGCCTTCCGGGAAATCCAAATTCAAGTCGGCAAGAAGGGTCCTGGCACCAGTCTAGTATATGCTTGGAGTTCAAGGGGTTTTCTATATGGCTACATTCTTAGCCGAAGAATATATGGTTATCGATGCAGGTACCTGTGCCTGTAGAGAGGTTGTGTTTTACACTGATTGGTGGTCTCTTTCTGCGGGGTTGGTGTTTTGTGGGGGGAGTTTGAAAGTCGCGGGTGTCTTTAGCGATGTTGTCAGGGCATTTGCAGAAAAAAGATACGGAAACTTAGTCATGAACACGATTTGTTGGTTTGCGTCCCTTCTGCAGAGATTCTGTCAAGGCTTGCGTACCTCTTAGGAGGACCCCCCACCCTGTAGTAGCGACTATAAGGGAGAATAAGGATTATATTAGGGTCCGCTATATTCCTATTATACCATTATTACAGGGTGGGGGATTCTCCTAATGTACCTCATACATTCAGGCAGTGACTTATTCTGCACAATATGCTTCAGCTGGCCATTTAAGACAGCCATGTACGCGCCCCAAACTGGGTTGCTGTTAGGGAATTTACATTAAGTTACCATAATGGGTAGAGAGAGTGATAAATAAATACCTATATCAGTTAATAGGGTTTCTCCAATATAGTAACTTAAATTAAGTTCCTTAACAGCAACCCAGCAAACTCTAGCTCCCTAAACCCATTCACCCCCAAACACTGAAACTGTAAGCCTCAAAAGCCTACATCCCGCATGCAGGCGCGGGTGGTGAACCACTCCAGCGCCGCTCGCACGTGTGACGGGCCGGAGTTCGGAGACAACAAGCTCAAGGTGACACCTGCACATGGGCTGTAGCCTAAACTCTTCAAAAGGGTGGTTACATGGGGATTATATAGGGCTTACGCTCTAAACTCCTTCAAGGGAGGATATATAAGGGATTACGTCGGGGACTGTTATCATAGAGAGGTAAGTATACACAGCTTAGACCTCAGAAGTATGAGGGGGTAACATGTTTTCAGCACTTTCGATATCCAGCTGGTTTTGACCCATAAGGAGCAATCCGTACATGTCTGGGGCATGCTGTACCTTTTCGAGCCAAAGGGTACCGACATTATAGTGATACTCTGCCCAGAATTGATCATCAATTCGGGCCTTCTGGTTTTATGATGGGATTTGTCTCATTTAAGTGAGTGGTCTCATTGGTGCTTGTAGACGACGTTACTGCTGTAGAGCTGCAGCCATGTTGCACTTTCAGAACCGGAAGCCCGCTGCCCACGTAAACTGCACCACGGCATATTTCCACCTACGGCAAACAGTCCCTCATTTGCAGGTTTCCCTTGATTTCCCACTGTGGCCGTTTCAAACATCGCCTTTTGAATTTTGCTTGGTGAAAAGAAGGGAGCCAGGATGCCCCCACATTGATGCCATCTAGGGTCATGTAACCCCAAGCCCTGAACGCTTTACCCCTGACGTTCCAAGGCAGGAACAATATACAACACCCTATTCCCGCGATGGTTTCGCCGTGACAGCTGCCATAGCCATAGTCTTGACGCGTTTAGGGTTTATGGTTTTAGCGTTTAGGGTTTAGCGCATTAGTGGAACAGCTTCCCGCCAAAAAGGAACAGGCCTAGCAATAACCTAGCCGCTGAGGGTGAAAGTTCAGGTGCTTCAGAAAAGTCTGCTGGAGATTCATGGATTCGAACCGAAAAGCCAATGGTGAAAGGCAGTTTCAGCATATTCCAAAGCAGCATTAGCTAACACAGGTACAGTTTAGGTGAGGTCTGATGGAAACTCACAGGCCAGAGTGCATGAGCCCCGTGTAGGCCGTATCAGCCCCTGCATGGGCGGGAAACCTCATCCGCGCATCCTCTCCAGGAGATGTATTTCATGAAGAATGGCGGAAATCTGGGAGGTGACAGTACAGCTGCGATGCTCGCTTCACCCATGACTAGCTGGTTTTTAATGCGGTCTGAAACAATAAAAAGGTATATTGAAATTGCCACTATATTTGTGGGGAATGTACAGGGTCCAGTTTAGGCATATCTAGTACTGACAAGCACTAAGACAAGGGGCTATCAAAGTTAGGGTTTATAGTTTGTTTGTGGTGGCCATTTTGCGGACCCCGATGTGTAGCAGTTCATCTATATCCCTATACTTCCAACCCCCCCA